GCCCTGACAATGTGATTGGATCGCCTGACAGTGGGCGATAATACTCGCGCTACTATGGAGCAGAGCCAGACCGAACTTCCCGACCTCAAACTTTGTGGGCGGGACTAAGTTCGGAATGGCACCCAGGCTACTGTTTGTTCACCTCAGCAAACAAACAAGCAGCTATCAGGACCACCCGAGATTGGTTAGAATTGTGAAGTTTGAGTTGAAGAAGCCATCATACATCCTTTTTAACAAACTCACTGTCATTTAGACAAGGCAGAAAGCACTATGAGGATCATATTCTGTTCTTTCTCAAGAACATTTAGCATGATTCAGTCTTACGATTCCGCACAGATATTCTGCATGGAAAATTAGCCTCCCGTCACTGCGTCTGCACCATTGATACCCCGTGCTGCTTGTTCGTTGTGTTTTACGTGTGGATCCGCCCACATGGTTACAAATTTTCCTAGGTGCTCTGTGCGGAGGGGTATGGAAGCCCAAAATGACGTAATTTCTGACCTCTCAGACACATCAAGCATAAACCAAACTTAAGGTGGTGTTTTGTGAAACACATAATGTTGCTTTGTAATTATTCTGATTGGGTCCTTAATAGCATTTTAAATTATTTCCCCTAAGTAATAGTTACAGTTCCATCAAGAGGAAATCATTTTTTTGGACTGTGGGTTAGTGCCACTACATTGTGTAATAAATTTGTAATTGCAGAGGAAATAATTTGGTGCTTTTAAGTGGATCTGCCTTTCTTGGGCATACAATAAAATTTATTTCTGCTGTGTTTGTCTTTCCCAGACTGCCTACAAGACTATGCTGGAAAACAAGACGATTTATCTGAACAGCAGCCCTGTGAACAGGAGAGGAATTCCAGTTTGGACAACAAGGAACCAGAACCTCAGCAGATAAAAGAAGAGCAGAAAGAACCAGAACATCCCTGCACAAAAGAAGAAACCATGGAGCTCCCCATAAGTGAGCATGGAGAGCAGCTTGTTCTGAAGCAGGAAACTGGAGATACAGAAAAAAAAACATTCCCATGTTTGACATATCGAGAAAATGTTTTGAAAAAAGAACATTTAATAGTTCATGCAGTAGCTCACACTGGTCAGAAGAATTATGAATGTCTGCCATGTGGAAAAAGCTTTATTAACAAATCTAATCTCAATCAACACATCAGAATTCACACAGGACAGAACCCTTTCAAATGTGGGTCCTGTGGAAAAGGTTTCTCTCAGAAATCTAAACTTGATTTACACATCCAAATTCACAAAGGTGAGAAGCCTTTCTCCTGTATCATTTGTTGCAAAAGTTTTACACGAAAAAGTAGTTTTATTGACCACATGAGAACTCACACAGGTGAAAAGCCTTTCGAATGTCTGTCTTGTGGAAAAAGCTTCACCTTTAAATCTGACCTTAAGAAACACTTTAGAATTCACACAGGCGAGAAGCCTTTCTCCTGTGCAACTTGTGGCAAAAGTTTTACTCAAAAAGGTAATTTGACTTGTCATATGACAACTCACTCAAATGAAAGACCTTTTTCTTGTATGACATGTGGGAAAAGCTTCAGTCAGAGATGTAATCTTGATGTACACGTCAGAACTCACTCAAATGAGAAACCTTTTAAATGTCTGTCCTGTGGACAAAGTTTCATCAATAAAGTCACTCTTGATAGACACATCAGAATTCACACAGGACAAAAACCTTTCAAATGCCGGTCCTGTGGAATAAGCTTCTCTCAGAAATCGAACCTTGATAGACACATGCGAATTCACAAAGGTGAGAAGCCTTTTTCCTGCACAATTTGTAGCAAAAGGTTTACTGTGAAAAGTAGTATGACTGACCACATGAGAACTCACACAGGTGAGAAGCCTTTCAAATGTCTGTCCTGTGGAAAAAGCTTTGCATGTAAATCTGATCTTACTAAACACCTCAGAATTCATACAGATGAGAAGCCTTTCTCCAGTACAGTTTGCGGCAAAAGTTTTACTAGAAAAGGTCATTTGACTTGTCACATGACGACTCACTCAGATAAAAGACGTTTTTCTTGTGTGACCTGTGGAAAAAGGTTCAAGCAGAAACCTCATCTTGATAAACACGTCAGAGTTCACACCGGTGAGAAGCCGTTCTCCTGTACCATTTTTGGCAAAGATTTTACAAAAAAAAAAAAAACTTGACTAAACGCATGACTACTCATGTGAGAAACATTTTTCATTCATGACACATGAAATTGATTATCTTAAAAAGAGATATTTAATNTCGAGAAAATGTTTTGAAAAAAGAACATTTAATAGTTCATGCAGTAGCTCACACTGGTCAGAAGAATTATGAATGTCTGCCATGTGGAAAAAGCTTTATTAACAAATCTAATCTCAATCAACACATCAGAATTCACACAGGACAGAACCCTTTCAAATGTGGGTCCTGTGGAAAAGGTTTCTCTCAGAAATCTAAACTTGATTTACACATCCAAATTCACAAAGGTGAGAAGCCTTTCTCCTGTATCATTTGTTGCAAAAGTTTTACACGAAAAAGTAGTTTTATTGACCACATGAGAACTCACACAGGTGAAAAGCCTTTCGAATGTCTGTCTTGTGGAAAAAGCTTCACCTTTAAATCTGACCTTAAGAAACACTTTAGAATTCACACAGGCGAGAAGCCTTTCTCCTGTGCAACTTGTGGCAAAAGTTTTACTCAAAAAGGTAATTTGACTTGTCATATGACAACTCACTCAAATGAAAGACCTTTTTCTTGTATGACATGTGGGAAAAGCTTCAGTCAGAGATGTAATCTTGATGTACACGTCAGAACTCACTCAAATGAGAAACCTTTTAAATGTCTGTCCTGTGGACAAAGTTTCATCAATAAAGTCACTCTTGATAGACACATCAGAATTCACACAGGACAAAAACCTTTCAAATGCCGGTCCTGTGGAATAAGCTTCTCTCAGAAATCGAACCTTGATAGACACATGCGAATTCACAAAGGTGAGAAGCCTTTTTCCTGCACAATTTGTAGCAAAAGGTTTACTGTGAAAAGTAGTATGACTGACCACATGAGAACTCACACAGGTGAGAAGCCTTTCAAATGTCTGTCCTGTGGAAAAAGCTTTGCATGTAAATCTGATCTTACTAAACACCTCAGAATTCATACAGATGAGAAGCCTTTCTCCAGTACAGTTTGCGGCAAAAGTTTTACTAGAAAAGGTCATTTGACTTGTCACATGACGACTCACTCAGATAAAAGACGTTTTTCTTGTGTGACCTGTGGAAAAAGGTTCAAGCAGAAACCTCATCTTGATAAACACGTCAGAGTTCACACCGGTGAGAAGCCGTTCTCCTGTACCATTTTTGGCAAAGATTTTACAAAAAAAAAAAAAACTTGACTAAACGCATGACTACTCATGTGAGAAACATTTTTCATTCATGACACATGAAATTGATTATCTTAAAAAGAGATATTTAATGCTTCAAGTCACAGGAATGAACATTAGAGACATTTTCCATGTACAGGCATGGACTGGTAATCGGGCATACCAGGCATCTGCCCGGTGGGCCGACGTGCTGTTTGGGCCGGCAGACCCGACATGTATATTAATAATATGTATTATTATTATTATTATTATTATTATTATTATTCACTCTCCATTGGAACTTTGTGCAGTGGTGTTCACAGTAGTAATGGATGAGAAACACAAGGGAGGCGCAGAGAAACTGCACGAAAAAAGAAACGAGTTCTTCAAACGGACACTGCAAAATGTGTAAAACTGACTGACATGTTCCCAACAGCGGGCCCTTCATCTGCTCCGGTGTCTGATGTTAAATTTAATGGTGGTGGTGGTTGCAGACATCCCAAGTTTCCCGGAAGTTCCTGGAGTCTCCCTGATATCGATAGTTGTTCAAGGATGCCTGGAGTCAGATAAATTATCCCGGATTTTAGACTATGGGAGGTGGTGTTTTTTTTAATGCTAGTGGGAGCGAGCGGCAGTACAATAATTCATGCATCATGTGCGGATTAAAACTACTGTAATTGCTGGTGAAACCTGTGCAGCGTATCTGTCCAAAGCGATGCTCTGATCAACCAGCATTCCAGGCGACTGGCTGATCAGAGAGCTGATTAGATCAGTCAGAAAATAAGCCAATAAGTTTCAGTTTTCTTTTTTACAGTTACCTCATCTTGCAGCAGAATATACTAAAGTGTATTCATGTCTAGTGAGGGTGAAGAATGATGGAATGTGCATGTATGGGGCACGGTGCAGCCAGGGGCGTCAACTGACCCAGTACTATACAGGGGCACAATAGGGCACCAATTAAAATGCGAGCGCATAGAGCACATGAGCAAAAAAAATTTTGGGCATTATTTAGTTTATAAAAACATGGGCACAGATAATTAATGCAAGCATGCAAGCAAATATTTTATGGCACTTATTTATTATTATAAAGCATCATAAATAAATTGTACAATAAGAGAATTGGCCCTCATGTGAACTTCACTGTATATCTCTAATCTACTACTGATGAAGGCACAATTGATTATTATTATTTTTATTATCTCAACTCATCTCCCTGAAATGAGGTTTTTGAACTTCAGATGTCTGCGGTTGTAGTGGAGGCGACGGCGAACCAAGCCGTGAACATGATGTCAGTGCGGCTGAGGAGAGACATGGCGAGAAAGATGAGAGCAGGAGGAAATAGCTTCCTTTGCCCGTCCTGATCCTTGTCTTTTACAAAACTTTTTGAATCACCACCCACAACAAAGCACGATAAAAAATCCAGTTGTGCAAAAGGTATTCACCACTAAAAATGCACAAAACAGGAGGTGGCTCACATATTGTGAGAAACAT